ACAGGTGCTGCCTGACACCTGCTCCTGCTCCAGCCCCTCCTCCCCCACTCCCTCCCGTGTGAGGGGACACTGGTCTAGAACTGTTACACAAAGACACTTCTGATTTAGCAATATCTTGGGGAAATGGGCACTAACACTCACCTCTGTTTTAATGGCAATTATGAAGCTGCAGTGAGTACTGCACTCTGCACAAACTGGTTTTCTCTTTTAAATCCTGTCTTTGACACTGAACAAGGATGTTTTCAAAACAAGCTAATTCTACAAATGTGCTTGGAGCCCTTGGAGGTGCATAGGTTCACCATGGGGTCTGTGACATGGGAAACCTTAGCTAGGCCATGACTGTGAGAAGACATGGGGCCTTCGGTCTCATCGAGTCAGTGGCATCATGGGTCCTGGAAGGCTCCACTACTGGATGGGCCACACTTGCCTTCCTCTTCCCCCTACTGCCTGAGTGGTTGGCTGGAGTTGGGGAGAACACTATAGTTATTTATTACCGCATTATTGTTGGTACCCATGCAGAAAAATAGCTGAATGGAAGAGAAGGAAACAGAATCTTTTTTGTTCAATAGTCAAACGAGATTATTATGAGTTGTTGGAAGAGTGTTCATGTCATTTACAAACTGGCCTGCATACATCTCAGTTGCTTATTTACTACACCCTAGCACACATTTCCCTACACATCAGAGGTTGGAAGTGTTATATCTCACTTTACACTAACAATTACTCTCAATCCCTGCAGGTCTGAGGCCTTCCGGTGGATTGCCATGCTCCCTAGTTATCTGTCACTGAACCCTTGAATGGGAAGGGACTGTATACAGCAATGCCAAACCCAGCAGCTTTTCAATAAGCTTAAATCAAGGACTGGGCACCTGAACTTGGAGTTCTTGCAGACCTGGCAGCTCTTCAGCCCCTGCCAGGGGTGGAGAAATTTGAGCTAGTACAGTTTCCAAAGACAGGTGTTTGTCTTAAAAAGAAACCCTCTCAGCTGACCTCGGCAGCATGGGGAGTGTGGCCAGGAGAAGCGAGCTGCCATTCTGACGGAACCAGGTTTCCTTCAGTTAAAAATAGAATCCAGAGCTTGGTGAGAATTATTTGGGGTAAATGTGTCCACACTAGACTCTCTCACCTGTGGCCTGGACCTGAGTTCAGAGGTATCTGAATATGTACTTTCCATGACATGAGTAGTTCTGTCAAAGGCGAAGTTCACCAGGGGCACTGCCCAGTCAAGGTGACCCCCCTCTGTACCCTGACTGTGTCCAGCCTGTGAATGGGGACATGCTGTATCCCCAGGGCTGAGCGGAGGGAACCCTGGCACGAGCAGGCGTGTTCCGAGGTAAAAGGGCACCACTGGTACAGTGTGCTCCTGTGGGTGAGGGAGCGAAGCTCTGTCTCCTGGGCTTCGAAACAAACAAATGCATGCCAGAGATGGCATGACTGTGAGGCCACCCCAGGGCAAGTTTCTCCATGTCCCCACCAAAACCAGCAATGTTGACACCGTGGCCCTGTCAGATCTGTTAAGGTTTACCTTGTGTCACCCTCTGGAAGCCCAGGGGCCCTCCTGTAAGTGTGGACACTGGGGAGGCCCTCAACAGAGAGCTTGTGACTGTACTCTGCAGGGCCTGCAGAGCCTGGGGAGCAGTCTGAGGTCTTTAGGGAGTCAGCCCTGTAGGTGGGGGAGGGGATGGAATTGGGGTTCTCCAGAAATAGTCATCCTGGTATCATCAGCATCAGAACCACGTCTAAGCTTTCGATTACAAAGCTTTCTGACACACCAAGTACTTTATCTAAGTCCCCCACTGCTGTACTTGTAGGTGAGAAACATAACCCTATTTTACAGAAAAAGGGGCTCCCAGAGTTCCCTAAAGCTGTGCATGCAATGTCTTCACAGGAAAGCCACTCCATCAGGCCATCTGGAACTGTCCGGGCCTTTCCTGTCTCCCGATGCCTTGCTGTCTGCCAACCCAGGAACATTTTAATCTGAAGAACTTCATTATCAACCCCCTCCCAGGACTATTTTATCAGATGCTCCAGGCAAAAGGATTAGGGCCAGATTTTTCCATTGTTTTCTGAAAAGAAGCTCAGCAAAGCAATAATCGCCCTTGACAGGCCTCCAGCAGAGAGGCCACCTCGGGGCAGCTTCTGCACAGGCAGCATTTCCAAGTCTGTGTGGTGCAGGGAGAGGGAAGCAGCCCTGCCATACATCAGCTATCTCCCTTCGGCAAACAATGAGAAGCCATAAAAATAGATTTAATGGGCAAGACACATTGTTTTTGTGAAGGCTGGTGAGGATAATAGAAAGTACAGGAGCTTAGAGGGAAACAGCACAGAACCTTCAGCCCACTGTGAGAAGACAATTTGGACTGGAGGATGGGAGTGGGCAGCAAGGTGGTCGCTGCCCCTTGTGGTCAGCACTGTCTGTGCTGCGAGGCATCCCACCTGGTCTGCCGGGCAGGCTCACTGAAGACTGCCACCCTGCTCTCACCTGGGGGAGCCACGTCCACACTCAGCAAACCGCCACTTAAAGCATGTGGGCTTCACACATGCCTGTACACGCAGACACACATGTAGCACAACACATGTACTGCACATGCCACACAGCACACGGAACACGCACAGGGCACACATCACATAGTGCATAGCAATATCACACGTGCACACCAGACTCGGTATATCGCACCCCTCCCCTGAAGCGTTTCAACTGTGAACCTCCACTGCCACCTAGAGGTCCAAGGGTAGACAGAGCAGTTCACAATCATCCTGAGATCTTACACTATGATCTCATCAAAGAGTAACAGCTTTTTCAAGATCAAGGGCCTGGAGATTCCCCTTAGAGAAAAGAGATGTGTGGTGTTTGGATAAGGCCCTAGACCTTTATTTCATGTGATCTGCTTCTTACTTTCTTGAGCTCCAAAGATCTCAGGGTATGTGTAGTACGCACATGTGTGTGTGTACTTGTGTGCTTATATGTGCATGCATATGTACACATGCACTGTATGGTTGGAAGGTGTGTGTCTTGTCGTGTGTGCATGTGTACACATCTATACACGTGTATACACAGGTCCTGGGAAGTCAAGAGCCCAGCACGGGAAATACTCAGGACTTGGACGAGGTGTGGGAGAAGGCCCGGGGTGGGGTGGGAATACCGAACTCACATTTATGACATCATGTGCTTCAGTATTCCAGACCTATTCATTTGGGAACTCTGATCGGTTCGATTTAAACCTCTCTGAAAGACCTGAGCACCTGTTCCTTGGCACGAGCTGAGGACCAGACTATTGCCCTACCACAGCTGAGGGCTGCCATCTGGAACAGGGATCAGTGCACCCTTTCCTGAAAACTCTTCAGCTGTACATCACTACTGCTCACCTCTGTCCTAGAGGTCTGGAAGCAGCTGTAGATACTCCACGCAGGAATGAGCATGGCCAGGTTCTAACAAAACTTTAAGGACACAAAAATTAATTTCATGTATTTTTAGCTTGTCATAAAATATTTTTATTTTTTAAAATGTGTGTTTATGGGTATAAGAATCTAGCAACCATTCATATTTGTCCTTGGGGCTGTAGTTTCCCTAGCTGATTTTCAACTGATTCTGAGATGACATCCAATGTCTCTTGGTGTTTCCACAGCAAGTGTTCAGCCAATACTAAACAGCAGTGCCCTGTAACATGGTCAGCAAGGTATGGCATCTTTGTTATTGGTTTTTCATATGTGGGCAAGATTGGTTCTTATTTTCTATAGCATATTTCCTATGCCCCTATTTATTTTTCCATTTATGCTTCTGAGTGTCCATCTCATCCATAATGGAAACCATAGGCCATCCAGGGAACGTTTATCTTTTAATTGGATGCTCAGAGCACTCAAGTCATCTTGTTTTTATTTTCTGTCGCAGTAGAGCGTGCATACTTTGAAGATTTGCAGGTGAAGAACGTTGTAGAGATTTGTGAGCTGCTACTTGTCTGCAGGTGACACAAGAATAAAGCTGAGCAGTGTCTCAGCATGGTGGAAATGTAAGGTGTAAGGAAAGGATGGGAGAATTCTTGCTTAAGTTTAGGTTTTATGAGCCATGCCCTGTATGTTTTTCTCTGGTTGCTATTAGAATTTTTAGTTTTGAGGGCTTCAGCCACCTTTTAATGAGGATAGTTAATTAATAGCATTTTGTATGTGGCCAACTTGAAAATATGGAAACAAGTAGATAAACTTAAAACAGTTTTCCAACTCTATCTCTGTTAAATTTTAGTTTTTAAAACTCGAAGCACATCATCTTGCCATTGGTCTGTAATCCTTTTGCTTAATTAAGTTTTACATCTCTCATTAATCTTCACTACTATTGGTATGAACACAGCAGATACGCTTCCACTTTTAGATTGCTGGATGAGGCTGATTCCCCTATACAGGGCATGTAGAACTGTTTCCATCTCTTATTTTCTAAAATTTCACAATTTTCTGAATGCAATACTGAGCACCATACATTTACCCCACTGTCGTGATGAAATATATTCCCCATTCACAAAACTTTTTCTTTAATAGCACCGATTACAGCAATAGTCACTGATATAATTTTGATCCACATGGGAGAAGGTCTTAATGATCCTTCAACAATCAGTTCCTGTAGACATGAATCTGTCTTTGGAACTCCGTATCTTTTACCATGGTTCCAATATATACTGGCCTTTGATCTGTTCTCTTTGAGTGTCTGAGTTGGAATCTGAAAACACTCTCTTCTTTGAAGAACTCCATCCTAAGCAAAGCCCTTGCATGGGCGCTCTGCCTCCTTGGAAATGCTTGCTTCTCTCTGTGGAAGCATAGAACTTTGGAGCCTGTCCACCAGGGTGCACTGGTCTACTCTGCAGGCCAGGGGCCCTCCCCCACCCCAGGCTGTAGAATCACCTTTCGTGTGTATCATAGCTACCTGAGAAGTTTTGCACTGGCTGGGCCCTAGGCTCTAAATGTTGCCAAGTATCCCAGGGATTCTAGAAGCTTCTCAGAAGATGACATGGTATGGCTTTTTGAGCTGTCAAGGCTGCTGATGACTCCACAGAAGGGAGCTGGTTTACCAACCGAGACTTGGTGAGAGAACCTTTAAAAAAATAACAGCTCCTGGTGGCACTCCCGGAGATCCTAACTCTGTACAAAGGGAGTGAGCAGTTAGAGCACTTCTGGGGATTAGAAGGTTCTGTTCTGTTCTTTTGGAGCACCCACAACCTGCCTGGGGACCTCTCTGTGCTACTTCTACTTTTAGTATCACACAGGGTGATCTACATACCAGTTGTCTGGTGTGCTCCACTGTACTTTCTTGTTTCCCATCCAGTATTATTATTTTTTTTGGAAAACTGCACTTTTTAGATAATATTATGTGAAAAGTTCCAAAGGTCAGATTTTTCCTTTTCTTTGTTCTTGTTGCTGTTGTTTTTCATTTAGTGACTTTTCAGAACAAATTCTGTATGATGTATTTTCATTGTCATGCTTGGTCACTGAATTCTCTGTTCTATTAGTTTATGTGCCAACTAATAATTGGGCAGACATTCTATTAAACACCAAGGAGTCTTCCAGGCTTTGTGGTGAGTTCTCTGTGTGTGCATGTTAGGGCATGCCTTCTACATCACTCCTCCAGGCAGTGACAATGGGCCTTTGGCTTCCCTTCTGACTGACACAGAGCCTCAGGTCCTCCTGAAGTAAATGCTCAGGGCTTTTTTCTGGTCTTTCTAACTGAGCATGCTCACAACCTTGTGTATATGTGAGACCTAAATTCGCAGAAATACCTGAGATTTTTAGAGCATCATGTGAACTTCTTACTCCCTCTTTCTTATTTTCATACCCTTTGTTTAGCTTATTGCTTGCCCCAACTGTTAAGCAGCCATGATATTGAACAACTGTCTGATTATTTTAGATAAACCTGGCTGGGGAAAAGGATACGGGTACTTTGTAAGTTTCAGGTCAGGTCAGATAAAGAGAAATCTTGTGGGTAAAATCTTCATGAGCACCACTGGTCAAGTTCCATTCTGCCTCCTCCAGGGACTGCTGGGTGGCTGTTTTTCACATGATTACAAGCTGTTAGCTGGGAAGAAGTAGAACAAAGCAAGCTAAAAAGCCACAAAAGTTACTATTGTTGTTTTAAATCAGGATATGTCCATTTTCTGAAATGGCTTCATAGATAATTATAATATATTTGGTTTTCAGTTCCACAAAAGTTGGTTGGAACAATTTTTCCCAGTGGTTTCTTTGTTTGAATGAGAAGGGAAGACTTTCAGTGGTTCTTACCTGTTATTCTCTCTGACCTCAGTAGGTGGAGCTAAGTGTGTATGTGTATGTGTGTGTGGTGCTGGGAATGGAACCCAGGGCCTCATGCATGCCAACCACATGCTCTACCACTGAGCTACAACCCTAACCCTTAATTTTAATAATGTATTTCATTTAATCCAGTATATACAAATATTTTATTACAGCATGTAATCAAAATAAGATTAATGATACATTTTACACTTTTATATGAAGCCTTCAAAATCTAGCATCTATTTTACACTAAGGGACCCTCTCTATTTGGACTAGTCACATTTAAAATTCTCAGTAGCCATATGTGGCTCATGATAACATTTGGGATAAACAGTGGCATGTAATTGATGGAACTGACAATTGAATATCATAAAATGAAAAGTAGATGCCAAAGTGATAGTTGACAGCAATGAATAAAGAGATAAGATTTATGTTATACTCTTTAATTCAAAATGCTCCACTATGCTTGGTGAACATTAAATATATAATTTAGAAAATCATCAATCAGTTAAGTCACATGTGGTCACTTTATTCAAGTGATCAGTAGCAGAAGTCTTTTGAAGGCAGCCTGTGGACAGGCTTGGAAGCATCTTTTTAGAATATTTCCTTTGCCTTAGAATTGGAAAGATAAAGTAGAACATAAAAGAAAAACCAATTCCCAGTGAACTTCTAGTTTGATAAGCCAGATTATTTTAAAATATATTCAGTACTTCCCTTTTACCTCCAAGTGAAGATTATACTCACTGATTCATCGATGCCAGGGTTGGGATGTTAGCATCCACTGGAAAATACTAACTTGCACCCATAAGTTTCAGTGCCACTGGATTTGCCAAAGTTTTGGTGCCACTAGATTTCTAAAAGTGCTCATATCTGGGGTCATCTGACAGTGTTGTTATGGTTGCAGCTAGTGGATGGAAATATGATGCCCACTGCAGATCATAAAATAAAAAGCAGACTCTGACAGCAATGAAGACAGAAGTAAGTGCACTACTGAGCTTTTGCTATGGCAACAAATGACTCCCCATCCCACTGTGCCAAGAAACAATCAGCATGTCTGTTATTTATCACTCCCTCTTTTGCAGGTGGGTTGTGACTGTTCTACTGTATGCTACCTGTTTGCAGAGAGTTGATTCTCCTGCATTTCTGGGCTGGAGGAGGAACTACTGTTGAGGGAACATTGGTTTCATGCTGCATAAATACATACAGTGAGTACGTCATCTGCTTCTCTTCTTGGACAGGTATTTCTACATCCACTCAAATTCCAATAAGCCAAAGCAAGTCACTTAGTCACTGCTTACCGGACAATGAGGTACATTCCTGGGTTAGGTTGGGGGTGAGGCAACAGGAAAACATATTTTCTGAACTATAGTACACTTCTCTATCTCAGTTTGTACAGTCACTTTATTAACAACTCATGAATAGCATATTACTATAAATGATGCATTATTATTATTATTATCATTATTATTATTATTTTGTACCAAGGATTAAACTCAGGATCTTGTGCTTGCCAGGCAGGCTCTGTGCTGCTGAGCTATATCTCTGGCAATGATGCATTATTTTAAGCATGATTTATTTTATGCTATTAGCACACATTAATATTACATGATGATGGGGTTAATTTTGGAATATTGGTACACTTGTTTAATAATCTTAATCAATTTTAATCTCATCACCAAACTTTTCCTTTCTTGTCATCCCTAATGATCTCCTTCCCTTTTTTCCAGATGTCTACTTCCTGGTTTCCTGTCATCTCTCTTTTATTTTATTTATTTTTTAAATTAATTTATGCTTTTTAGGTTTCTATAAGAAGAAAGATAAGAGAAACACATGATATTTAACTTTCTGAGTCTGACTAATTTCACTTAGCATGATTTGTAGTTATACCCATTTCCTTCAAATGAGTCAAATTTATTCTTTACAGCTGAATAATATTCTATACCATTGTGTAGAATAGTATTTTATACCAATATAGATGCATTGTTGTGTATCTATACCACATTTTTTAATTTTAAAGATAGAAGAACAAAAACATGTTAGGAAACACATATACATTTATAAAATAACACAAAAACAATACAAGCAATACAGAATTTCAGACAAGGTGATAGGTAATTAACAATGGTGATTGTATTACATATTGATATCTTCAAATTGGTTACTCAGATAAACAAATATAGGCAGGTAAGATTGATCAAACAATTAAATCTTAACTGTTCCTTTCAAGAAAGCAATAGAAATCAGTAGTACAACTATCTTAGCTATCCTGTGTATACATATATATGTATTTTTTCCCTTCTTTCTTTCTTTTTTCTTTTTCCTCAGCCCAGTTGTTTCCTTTTGAGCAGTTTCCTTCCCTTTCACAATGTCTATTGTACCTCCTAGATTTTATTCACTCTTTCAGGCTCTTACACTAGTGAGACAATATGGTGTTTACACATGTGGGTCTGATTTATTTCACTTATAAATATGGCCTCAAGGAGGGTCCCTTTTTCTCCCAACATCCTTGTCAACATTCATTGGTTTTCGTGTTCATGATGATCATTCCCACTGGGGAGAGATGGAATCTTGGTGTAATTGTAACTTGCATTTCTCTTGTGGCTAGAAATGTTGAAGAACACTTTTTCATGTATTTTTGACTACTTGAGCTTCTTTTGATAAGTAGTATGTTCATTTGCCACTTTTAATTGGGTTAATTATTTTATGAAAGCTGACTTTTAAGTTCTTTATTCTAGATCTCAATTCTGTATGAGAAGTGTCGTAAGCAAAGTTTTCCCCCATTCAGTTATCTCTTAACTATTGTTTTGTTTGCTGTGTAGAAGATTTTAATTTTATGCAGTCCATCTGTTGGTTTTTACTATTATTTCCTGTGCTTTTGGAGTCCTACTCAGGAAGTCTATTCCTGTGCCTATGTTTCAAGTATTTTCCCCATGCTGTCTACCAGCATTTTCAATGTTTCTTGTTCATAAACATGACTTAGCAATACTAAATGTGGAGGACCACCTGGGCAACTCTCCTTGGAGGAGGAGCTATTGTCTCCATTTTGGCTGAGCCTGACCCTATTTCCACATATTGATATGTACAAAGCTGACCAGGACTTTTCCTTCTCCCTTCACTTGGCTTTAAGTGATGCAAATTGGTCCAAAGATGACAGGGCAGTGTTTCCTGGGCCCCTGTAGCTCCCAAATAAAACATCAGAGCTGAAGTACCAACCTCAAAACATTAGATACTATCTCAGTTGTGTTATACAGGTTACTCTTTCTGCATATCCTTCTGTCTGCATACTTCAGAGGTGATTTCAGGCCTCCTACCCAGCCCAGCTCACAGAATATATGTATTTCCTGCCATTCGCAGTCACTCATCCTCAAGTCACTCCTTTCTTCACAAATCAATAAAATTCAGGTATGGTCCTGGATCGAGGTTGTTCTGGTTAGCCACCATCCTAGTTGGACTCAGGACCCCCTTGATTTCCCCACCATTTTGGATACATTATTGTGTCTTAATTTATGCCGTAGGTTGCACTGGGAATGGTAGACTGGAATTAACTCGATGTGATTCCAATACTTTTCCATGGGCTTAAAAATATAAACCTCCTGGACTATGATGAGAACTGAGAAGAGCTCTCTATAATTAAAATATTAACATCTTCCACAATTTTTAGGGGCTTTGCTAAGCTCCATTTTTCCAGGAAATTTCTCCAAAGTGAACAAATAAAAGCCCCTGGCATACAGTGGGGATTGGAGATAAATGGGAAGAATTATATCCTTTTCTGCATCCTTAGCTCACTGAGGTGACTAAGTCTCATAACAGGAACCTGTGGTCGAGGCAAATCATTTGTCATCTTAGCTCCAGGAGGCTGTTGGCCTCTGCCTGGGCCTTGGGTGGCTTCTTACAGGAGGCCCGGAAGGTGCTGTCAGCTGGGCTGTTTCTGGGAAGGAGAGGTTGGTATACTTGACACAGCAGTGCAGCTTCTTACTCATCGAGGGGGCCCCACAGGGTGCAGCTGCTACAGCTTCAACCCTGTCGTGTGCCTGTGCCAGATCCCATAGGAAAGCCAGGGGAGAGGATGGGGGTGGAGTCATGTTGAGTGGAGGAGGAGGGAATCGAGAGCAGGTAGGGTCTCTGCGCCTCTTCAAATATAGTTCCACATTTGTACTTCCCAGAGATGTGACTCATTGTTCCCCCCAGCACAGCTCTTGGCTGAGCTGTGCCTCTGTTTTGAGTTCACCGTTACCCTCATAGTAGCTGAGGAGAGAACTTCCCTCTTTCTGTTCAGCACTTCCATCAGTGTAATAATAGTGAAGCTGTTCAATTGCTGAATATAGCAGTGATTTACATCCATGTCCTATATCAGGATGAACACCCTGCTTTCCTGTTGTGTGAGTCTGTCCTCATTAGTGGACATTTGGAAAACGTCTGCAAATTCCTTTCTATTTCTAAGCCTGGCACTGTAGCACCACTGGCTTAACTGTCTCAGTATCATGTCTGAACATTCCTTGATAATTGTAAGATGGTTCAACATAGGTTAGATCCTCATTTCTTGACCTTAGTTCCAGAAACTGATGCTATCTCTAAAGACATCTTAAGGCTTCTTTACATTGCTAAGGCAGAGGCTTTTAAGTACAACCTATTCTATGTGTTTTTATCACTTTAGTAATTAAATTGACTATATTTATTTTGAAGGAAGTGAAAGAGTTTTGATGGTGATATATTTAACATGCTGCTTTTTTAATTAAAGGTCTTCCTTGGACAAAATTACTTATGCTATTAATAAAGTGGGTATTTTCAGTGGGAATACAAGCATGAATAGCCTATCAGTGTGAATGCACTACTGCCTTATAAATTGAAAAGGAAATAAGAAAGGTCGTAGGTTTGGTCAAATAACCATCTGTTAATGTAGAAATTCTCAGAACTCTGCATGGTACTATGCTTTTAGTATAAGAGTCAAACCTACCAGAACCCTGAATTCTATATCACTGAGATCCCAGAAATCTGCCCTTCTTCCAAGCTGGCTTTAATTTCATTATGATCCGCCAAGTCAGAGCCACAGTGCTGGCAGCTAATCATGACTCATCCAATGAGTGCACCTGCTCCATCTGGATTGACTCAGGAAATATTGTCCCTGCACTGGGACCTGTATTTGTAGGAAATGGAAGCAAGCAAAACACAACTGTTGATTACCCATGTAGCATGGGTCTCCTGGAAAACAAATTTGAAAAGTCTTGTTTTTCAGGCCTGTGTTTCTCCTGAAGTAAAAATAGCTTCATTCCCAACAAACATGACAAGCATTACTGTCGGGTGGAGTGAGGGTGGAGGGTGTGATTCTCAATGTGGCTGTTTCCCTGGTTAATGTGTGTGTGTGTGTGTGTGTTTTTTTTTTTTTCCAGCCAAGAGAGATTACAGAGCACTGTGTTTGGCCACAGAGGTGCCAGTAGGAATGCCTGGGCTTTCTTCCTGCTCACTTCAGATGCTATGATTTTGTACATATCCAGGACTTCAGTGGTCATGGGACACGTTTTATTTACTATTATTTCCTGTGCTTAGGTTACTTATTAGACATAACCCCTTGGTTTTAACATAGAATCCTAAGCCCAAAACTTATTTAGTCTTTTTATTTATTTACTCTCCTTTTTCTTTAGTCCCTAGTTTGGCAGATAATAGCCCAATCTACTTAGACTAGTCTTTTCATAATAATTCTCATTCCTCTCCTTTCTCAGTCTTATTTTCCATAGTCTCATTGCTTACACTCCTTCACCCAGCCCATCACCTAAACTCCTCTTCACCATCCCAGGCAGACTGCCTCCTACACTGGGTGAAGCTGGCTCTCAATAATCATGCCTCTAACAGTGTTCCACTGAGCAGCCTGACAGGTGTTTTGTGCAACGTCATCCAGCCTGCAATGGGGCAGGGGTACTACTAGAAATCTCCATTTCTGTCCTGACTTTGGCAATCCCAGATGGTTAGCCAAGGAGCTATGTGCTCAGGTGCTATTAGGAGTTTCCTCTTGTTATTACTGCTCATAGATCTGAGCTCCTGAGTATCGCAGAGAAAGACAGGGATTCTCTTTTCCAAACTTGCTTCTATTGGTGAAAATTATCTTTAGTGTTAATTTCAAGAGAATGCCCCAGTCTAGAATGACTTTTTTGGATCCATAACAGAGTGATATAGCAAGTAACCAATTAATTTTATAGAGTATCAACCGTGA